CCAACACTAACAAGAGCGCTTTCTCTAAAATGTTTACTCATCGTCATTACTTATAATAGGGTTTCAATTCCCAGCGACACCTGCTCGCTGATTTATTTTACGTAATTATATGCGCAATTCTTGAATTTACGTAACGAATTACGATACTTAGTCACGTTTATGTACATATAAGCTGGGATTATATTTTAATTGTTTCTATAATTAAGAAATTCAATTATTGTCTTATTATAATAAGAAAAAAATCATTTATTCATGTAGGTGTAGCTTAGTACACTTGTGAACGTCAAAACAGTTAAAAATTCTAAATTTACAGTTACTACCAGTTCGCAAGTTAAGGGCGTAGAACGAATTAGAAGACCTGGCAAGAAACTCGCTGCGACTCCTTTTATTGTCGAGTTTTTGTTACAATCTACATCTCTTAAATGAAACACTTTAACGGGTCAAAGCGCGATATATTTTAGTTAAACCTGTTTGAAAATTATTATTAACTACGGGCCGACGTTTCGGACGTTTGCAGCAGCCGTGGTCACGGAGAGACTACAATCTACATCTTACAATTCTTCCATGTTAGAGGGGGTTCCTCTAATAACATTAAGATATTTATAACTATGAATATTAGTATTCATTGAGCGTGCGCTTAATGCCTGCATTAGTCCTTTGGTAATTGCTGTAATAAAAATAACACATTTCAATGCAGACCAGTTTATCTGCTTGAGGAATTTTAATTGAACTATAATTGGCGCCGTCGTTTTAAATAGTATTTTCGTATCCTCAATAATGTTAATAAAATTTCATTTAATTATTTCATAATTATGCACATCCAAGTGGTTATTTTATTATGTACTTCCTGTATTATTTAAATTACTAGCGGATGGCGATTACTTAGTTCGCGTGTTAAGTTTCGTGTTATCGTGGGAATATTTTTTGTTTATATAAACTTTGCATTAATATCTGTTAATTTAAATTATTCAATCGGTTGTTTAAAAGTTAAACGTTCAACGGATTTTCATGTGGTTCAATTAGAATTAAAATAGTGTATCAACATTGCACCCGAACGAAGCCGGGGCGGGTTCCTAGTATTACATAAATCGACAAAACAAGTCCTTTATTCTGTGGCTTCGTGTTCAGCTTTGTGGTTAAATGCATTCATTGTGTTGATCGAGAGCGGTCGTTCGTTAGTATCCCGAAGATACAATTATAGTTCTTAACAGACAGGGAACAGACAGGGAACAGAGGTCTGTCAAAATCTCTTGAGAAAATGGTATATAAAAAATCAGATAAAACACATATACAACGTACAATGTTATTTCAAGGTATGCATAGATAATAGCGTGACGGGATAAATTTTTAAAAGCAGGCAAAATTAACTAAAGTGTTTCCCACGTATTTTTTAAACAAGAATCGAATTAAGTGCCCATATAAACGGTAATTGCACTCAACACACACTTTTTCCTTGATCGATAGAGTTAAATTGGTCTGCGTAGCGGGTACGCGTCGGAACACTTCACGAAACGGATATGAGCGGCTATTTAATTTCCGCACTTTCAATGATCGTTTTATATTCAGTTTTGCATGTGCTTATTGTATACACTCTATCAATAATACCTTTGTGCGCGGGAAAGTCCTGCTGTCATTTATACTAATACTTAGGTATTACTAATTTACTGCTATTTAGTCTGAAGAGGTTGTTTGTTTGCTTGAACGCGCTAATATCTACTGGTTCAAATTGAAGAAATATTTGTTTTGGATAGACCATATTTTATCGAGGAAGGTTTTAGGCTATACATACATATAATTATATTATATATTATATAATCATTGCGAATAATAGGAATAAAGAAACAAAGGGAAAAGTGCAAAAAACGGGGGAAATTATTTTTGTTGGGGGTTTTCGTTGCGTACGCTGCGACAACGATTCAAGATACCCAAAGATTCCTTTAAAGATTAAAAAAAATCACAGTCTATTTCTATTTTTCAAGATTAACTCGTAAGAACAACGGGACGCCGACGACCTCGTGGGCAAAATGGTATGTTTTCTTAAAAAAAGGTGGGTAACCTTTTTTTAAAAAAAATTACCATTTTGCTTTTAGTACTTATTAATACTTAATTTTAAACAATATTGCATGTTAAAATTTTAAATAACGACACGAAAATTATTTTGAGCTGCTACTTGAGTTAGATAATATAGAAACAAAGAACATAGCAAATGAAAATTTAATCCAACGCTTGCGCATCTTGTCTTGAATTCTTTATCGCTGAGATACAGTATCAAATCCGCCATTCGATACAGAATACATTCTTGCGAAAGTTAAAGGTAGTCTTATGTTTTGAGTGACAAATCCAATTTTATTCTCCACTGCCCCGCCAGCCCACCCCCCGCGGACCGATCAGACCTTATCCAAATTGGATCTTGAATAATAAAGAATCGAGGCGATTGGATTTTATTCCTTAAATTCAATTAGCACAGGAGGGTCGTGTGTGACTGCAGACGAAAGATAGAGGCATATTATCGTATTAAAGGGGATCCACGGGTTTCGTTTTATAAGGGATTCTAACCCTTCGATGGAGAACTATTATTTTTTAATTTGACGTCACACGCCGCAATTTAAAGTTTTTTTTTATTGCTACGCATGGGAGCTTATAAAGGATGATTGTACACAGACGAGAGTCATTAATGGTCGTTAACAATAACATAAGTAAATTTAAATAAACACTAAAACACTACATTAAACACTTTAACGGTTTAAAACGCAAAATATTAAACTTATATGAAAATTGTTTCGACTACGGTGCAATCGTTTTCAAATAAGTTTAACTAATATATTTCGCGTTTTAAATCGTTAAAGTGTTTCATTTAAATGTGTACTACTCGCGTAAACTACTTCTTAATCTAATGATTATCTTAGAATTCGAATTGGGATCTTTAAAAATCCTTGCTTTAAACAAACGATGTATACTTCTATTAAAATCGTTATTTAATTTAAAATAAATTTAAATGAATTACATCCCAAGACATTCGGAATACCATTATAGTAATGTTGCTTTAATTTTAATTGAATAGCGGAATAAATATTAATGAAGAACTTAATATGAAATGCATTGCTATAATCTGGACTCGAATACATTAATATTTTACTTGTGCATAATATTTCGATATACATATGTTAAGAAGGAAGTGAACTTTCAGTAAAATATACAAAATGTTGTTTATATGAAATCAACTTATATATGTAGATTTTTATGAGGTTTTACCACATAAGTGAAGAATGTCGTGTTGCATTGCTGCTTAGCATAAGTATTGTCTGTAGTTGAGGCGAGTAGTACATTTAAATAAACCACTTCTAACGGTTTAAAATGCGAAATATATTAGGCCACTTATTTACAATTTATTTTAACTACGAACGACGTTTTTGGATATACTTGGAGCAGCCGTGGGTCACGGGGGGACTCAAAAAGTTATTTAATATATTTCGCGTTTTAAACGGTTAAAAGTATTTCTATTTAAATTGTATGGTTCTGCCACAGTGGATTGTGTTGACTTCTTATGGCAAAATACGTAAAAAGACCTGGTTATTAGTTACTTTAATCTGTAGGCTGGAATAGAGAGACTTCTTAATTTAAAAAACCGTTGCGCTTTTGTAAACGCGTAAAGGGCACCAAGACTGGGTTTGCATCCAGGACAGAATGCTATTTTCATTCGGGCGATCACCGACGTCTGATCAACTGTGACCAGTCAGAGCTCCTCAGTCAGTTCTCTGCATAAAGCAAACTGGATGATACTTTGATAATATTTTCTTAACAAACATGTTTTTGAAAAGCCTATATTATATTGTCTTCGGCACAGACGACACTTCGAAAAGAAGGCTTTATTGTTATTACATCTTGTCTATATACTAAAACACCTCCCACTTCATTATTAACATTGTTACATTATTGAAATGAAATGGGTCTCGCGGCGCACTAAAAACATTATCTACAAAATTAATAGCTGCAACACCAAATTATCACCGCGTTAATGGGGTATATAAAAAGCTCTGTCATTATCAATTTAACTCGACGCATCTACGGCCATTAGGTTAAGAGTATATTAATATAATAAATCGCTATATTATCGCTCCTGCGTTTGACATAAACATCGAAATCTACTTTAAGTAATGGAAACGATATAATGTATGTACCGGCAGAATCGGGCCGACGCGACGATAAGACGAGCTTAGTGCTTTAGTGGACTGCATTTCCCAGTTATCATAATAATCTTGTGCCAACAATATTATTAAAACGCTTTTAAGTGAAATCGACGCTTGTTTTATAATTTAATCACTTTATCTTCACCTGTATCTTTAAAATACTTTTCGCGTTAAAAAAAGCGAAGGATTTCTTTAAAAAAAAACTGGTTTTAGGTTCGCGTTTTAAACGGTTTAAAATTGGTTTATTTCATTACTTTTTTATAACTTTATATACACACAAGCTGTTTCCATCGTGGGCTTTATAATTTGTTTTATTCCTTTGTATTTATAGTAATTATTTATTGTTATGAACACCGTTATTAATATAATTTCGTCACGGCTGTCACATTTGCAACATGTACGAGAAACAAAGAGCAAAAGCCACATGTTATAAATTAAACGAAACATGTTGTATTCATTAATTACGATTATTATTGTGGTTACAATGCCACTGTAGAAGACCACTTTTATGACAGAAATACTGTGCAGCTGTAAAAAATTGTGGTTTTCGTTATCTTAAGTTTAACTTCTCTTTTCTGCTGTATTTGTCAAGCGTACTTTCTGCTACGGTGTTTACCTTTCGGTTGCTTGGAAGGGATAGCTATTTTGTTATAAAACCGCCTTTTGCTTTGAAATTCTATCTATTTTAATTACTGTTTTATGCCCGTAAAGTACATTTTATATGAATTTACTTTTAGTGTCAACTTGTAGTCACGTCTTGTATAGGTACATTGTGTGTTTATCTTTATTGATGCACGAGCTCAAGGTGACACGTTACGACGGTTGCATCTCCTGCGAGTGAAGTGCAAATCGTGCAATAATGTTCTGCTGTGAATCTGTTAGTGCAGCGATTTGCAAAGCACTAGCGTGCGGCGCAACCTTAAAAGCAATATCCGGCAAAGCGCGCGGAGTCCGGAAATGAACCGGAAACAGTGGTGTATTAAGCCGCAGGTAGCAGCCCTTCAATTTATAAACGCTCGCAGCCGCACTCCATCACCAGCTCTGTTGCTGAACCGCTCCAGCCGATATCCGGCTGAGTTAATTTGTAACTCACACTACGTTCTCTTCGAGAAAACTTCGAGTCTATAGAGAACCGAGCCGAGAGGACAATATCTAAAATTACATTCTCCGGCCTGAACTAACAGCGAAATGAAATAAAGTCCGCAAACAAAAGTTTGCAAATCCAATATGATTTGGCGCGTCGGTAAACATCGGCGGCATCCCGGTGATATCGCAAACGAATAACATTAAACTTTGTATGGATTGAATGTAGAAAACCAATTTCGGTGCTCGGCGAATGCGAGCCAATAGGATGAGGGTGTCAGAACGCTTTGACAGCTCTCTGATTGAAAAATACGGAAGGCTGTTTATGGAGTAAGTACGCTTCCGGCGTGCGCGCTCCGCGGACCTCTCCTTAAACGAGTTATGCATTATGGTAATTCTGATTACTAATAATAATTTGTATGTGTCCATTTAATCGACTTGCTTAATCCGCTATTAATTTATATTTTGATATGTTCCATTCGTATTTTTCCCTGCTGCACGTTTTGATGAAGCAATAATCGTTATTCATTCCGACTTTTATATTAATTTGATATTTAAATTTGTGTTTCCATTTTCAAGTTAAATAGGCGATTTTTATTCCTATTACTTTGTTTATTTGAAATACTCGCTCTTGACTATATTTCGACACGAGAATAAAATGTACTATGGTAGAAATTGTGTCAAAAGCCGTACACATCGGCGTTTAAAATTCATTAGCGACGCCATACCATTTTGTTCGAATCATTAGCATTTCAACGATAATTATTGTATTTCTTAACAGTGTGAATTGGTTACATATTACTTTTACGAGTACGTATTTGAATAATTTAATGGTTTCCATTTACGTGACGTGTTAAGTGAGGGACAAATTTTCTTGAATTTGAAAAATACCGCATTTATATTTATCTTAGAAGTATGAATTCTAATATTTTTTATTAATATTGTTAGTTTGACCGGTCAGTAAGCCACTAATTCGTTTCATTAGTATCTACCATTCATCCAAACATTCTGACGACATATTCCTTATTATTTCAAGCATTTTTGCTAACTACCCTCCAATAAGCTCCGCGGATGTAAGTACTATTATTAAGTCTATAATAACACGAATAGTACATAAATAGATGTACTTAAAAATATCACATGTTTGATAGGCAACGAGTAAATAATGACTGAATATAGATGATGAATTATGCACGATATGAAATATCTCATGAACAGGCGCCAGAAGACGCGACCCCCGTATCGATATATCACGAATTTGGACATCAGCATTCTGCTATTGGAATTCTGCAGATGATTTTCCTTCAGAATTTATACGAACTGCGGAACGAGGCAATCGTGGCGCGGATTTCGGACGGGATATGAGCCCGGCGATTCATTTAAAACGGCGAAATTAAATGTCTAGAAGATTACAGCGGGACCGTACTGGGATTAGTTAGAGATAACTGAGGCGTATATGGAACTGGCTTGGCGAACTTTTATTAAACGCGTAAGGACGATAATAATTAATTATGTTCGAATGGAACCAGTTATTGCGGGTCCGTGAGAGATCTTTGTTGCGATCTAGAGCTATTTAATGTATTTATTATTAAGGTTTTTGTCATTGCTGTAAATGGTATGTCATGTAAACATATTAAAAGCTTTTAATTAAGAGACATTTATCGTCTACAATGCAGGACCTGTTCGCGATATTTAATTAATGTAGCTTGCACAAGTACTCATATACTTTCCAATGGCTTTAAACTTTGGGAAATTGGGGGAAATTGTCTGATTTTGTGAACTGATGGCAAATCAAATAATAGCCAATAGAAGAAAAAATCTAATACTTCAAACCTTTTAGTTTGTAAGGCGTTCTAGTATAATGTGGGTCCAATTGTGTTTATTTGCTGCTGTAAAGCATCCGGTACTGGGTCGTGCTAAAAAATATTGTTAATAAATTTTAAATCCTGCTTTTGCTGTAACCAATACAAAGTGCGGAACTTTGTGGATGGTGCTTCAAGTCCCGGCCGTGTCGTACAATTTTTACAATTTGTAAACGATTTTTAATTAATGTAATGCCATCAATAACATGTGAAAAATATCAATGTTTTAAAACTGAGTATTTTTAAAATTTAAACGGTTTAAAGTTTAACCGTTATAAATAACTGTTTAAATTTTGACATATTTCATAATATTTATAAATATTACTCATTCGTTAAAAAGTAGTGATAATGACATTAAAGGTTATTATGTATAATTATCCACAAAGGAGGACAAGTCGAAAACGTTTACTCATTAAAAGCTAAGGACAAAATTTTAATAAGTAAAGGTAAATAAACCACTATGTTAACGGCGCAAGCATATCTCGAAATCGAATTTCTTTTCGAAACTCACGAAACACCGTCGAGTCCAATTGAATCGCGTCTTAATTACAAAACGGGTGAATATTTAATTAAAAACTTTCCGCACGCGAGTAATACCTTATTCCATGTATACGAGATTGAGTCAGCGTCAATTCCGTTCCTGTGAAGTCGATTCAACAAAGCTTTTTAATTGAACAACCGGCCCACTGTGGCGCTTAGTCGCTAAGTGATTCAGATTAATTGCCACGTTTTTCGTTCGGTAATGGAAGAAAGTAATTTTCAATTAACTACTCGCTAATGGATTGCGGGCTTAACATATTAAATCTCTTTTTTTGGTACTTCGCTCTTAATGCCAGTTGTCTTTACTTAGGTTATAACTAAATCGATGAAATATGAAATTAATGCTTACTTCCACTTAATGTATTATGCTTATAAACAACTGCAATGACTAATGGTTCGCATTTCAATCTGAGTAAAATTTTATCATTTAATGAGTATAATCCGCGTTAAATATCAATTTTTGAGGTAAAAATACAAATCTTAATTAAATACCCAAATGAGAAGTCATATGTTATATTATTTATTTATATAACATAAACGATACGACTACAAGAATTTGATTGGAGGTAATTAGTAAAAATTGGTAAATACATCTTTTTTTATGACAGGGGAGGACAGAGAAGCGTGGGGTTCCCTTGACAGTAGGAGAAATGTTGCCATATAACCAGCCAAAGAAGATACTCTGTCGACACTGACTGAAACCGAAACGCCATTAAACTTTAAAACGGTTTAAAACGAGATTTTAACTAATACATCGCGTTTTAAACCGTTAAAGTGTTTTATTTAAATGTGTACTACTCGCGTAAACTATAGACAGCCATTAAACTTGACTGTTTCTTTTACCTGACGATATTTCGATATTCCCACTAATTTAATATCCAGATTCCAAACGGAGTCCAAAATGTTTCAGAAACATTATAAATTGATTAGAACGCAGTGGGAATCGAACCTATGGCCCGTTGATTTTGAATTACATTACACCAACGAATGTTCATTAAATCACGTACGATTTTAACTTTTTTTGTAAAATTTGACACGAGCCGCGTCTATAAAAATGGCGACTACGTCGTCCGTTGATGACGTGATATTGTACCATGAATTAGCATTGTAAATGCAATCACAGGTGTCAAGCGAGTGCTAGCGCGGGGAATTTATGCTCCCTCCAGTCCAGTCGCTAACCATTCCAAAAACAACAAATTACTATCAATAAATAACAACTAATTGCCAATCTAGCACATTTAATCAAGCTATTAACATTTTTCGCTGCGACTTATACAATCTCATCGACTGATTTAGTGGCACATAACTGAACAACAGACACATCAAATTGTATTTTTTATAGTAAATATGGCCATTATAATATATTTCTTATAATGGAATAACAAAATAATATACCATAATTTCTAAAAATAAAAACACAAGAGGAAACATCTAAATAAAACACTTTCAACGGTTGCCACGGCTGCTGCAAAGCATCGGAAACATCGGAAGTTAAATTTTGTAAATAATATATTTGGCGTTTTAAACCGTTACAAGTTTTTTATTTAAATGTGTACTACTCGCGTTAGCTACAGTCAGTATCTTATAAAAAAACAATTCATTAAACGTACGTCAATGAGAATAGTAGTGACTAATAATGTTTACAGAACTGGTCCATCTTAAATGAATCAGTTCTAACGGCTTCAAACCCGCACGTTACATTAATGTTTTCATCATTTAAGCTAGCGCGACCACCTTGAAACCCTTTCTAAGTTCTGAGCTTTCTATTTCTGTTAGTTTACGTGCAAGTGTAAGTGTTCTTGCTTTTGTGTGTGTTTCCAAATAAAGAATATATCTCTCTATCTACCTAACATTGCCATATACGCCCTTAGCAAACCCTAATAGAAACATAAATGATATTCAACTCAATGAGCTATGCGTTTAAAGTAAGACGCGACAGGTCTCGCATCAATCAGAATTATCTATATAGAAACCGGATCTTTATTATCGTATAAAAATGTTCGAGAAAAACACCCATTAGTCGGATTAAACATACAGGAAACCAATTAAGGCCTTAAGAGCCGACAGTGTTACACACAGCTCTGGAACCTAAGCTCCAAGCGACTATTCAATCTCATTAAAATACTTAACCCGTAATGGTCACGCATACGCATTGACTAGAGACTGGAGGTAGTTTTAACTGAAACCGAAGTTCGGTTACAAGGTTTTTTTATAATCTAATATATAGACTATATAGCGAAACATTTTAAACTGTTTAAAACGCGAAATATTTTAGTTAACGGTCCGCCTTTACAGATGCATTGCAGTAACCCTTAACAGTGTTAGTACTAAGTACTAGTAATTGTAAATTGATCGTGAACTTATGGAAATTGTGTAAAGTGAAGTTTGTAATTTTCTTCTCACTATCTTACTTTCTTTATCCACAAATCTTTTTGCACTATACTATCCCATTCCTTACCTTTTTATTATGAAAATATTGCGTTTGTTGCTAATATTATGGATATTAGAAGTTTTATCAACCGAAATTCGCTTAAACCTAACGTAAACCGAATAACGACCCATCCCTAGCATTTACGGGGCTATAGTTGAGTTATTGTGTTTCATATCAACGTAATAAGAACAGCAACGTAATTACTGTTGTGGCTAGTCACTAATTAAACCGTTTTAGTGGCAACTCTGTAGCAATTAAATGACCCGAACTATAGTCGTTGTTTTGTTTCGCCATTACATAGTATATATACGCGAAATTAATTCGATCGCACGACATTTTAAATGGCAAGAGAAACCGCTTATTTTAATTTGGCGGGATAGTGTGTGATTTGCGATTATCGATCTCTACAAAGATGTTTCGATTTTGTCAGTAAATTTGTACATGTGTGTTCCACTACAGTGCCTATACAAATTGTGAAATTATCCACCAATTTGTAATAATGGCCTTGTATACATTATACATATTTACACATAAACTTTAACCTCAAAATATGA